TGATTCCAGGATCATGCTCAACTGGGTATCAAAATACAATATAATCTCCTACGTAAGCTCCATGCATATACTACGACACACTTGCAATGTTAACAGCAGTGCACCATTCAATAAATGGGACTGGCACAACTGATTTTCCACAGACAAGTAAAATTAGATCCTGCCTTCCACAGCACACAAAAATGTATTTCAGACAGGTTGAAGGCCTGTGTTCTTAAAAATGTTTATAGCTATTATAAGAAAATAATATGGAAAACACACTATCCAAACAGAAAAAATTGCTTAATTTTACTCTATCAAAAAAAACTTCTGTATGAGACACCACAAAATTAAAAGCAAATGGCATGATGAGAGAAGATATTTTCACACATACTTAATAAAAGTTATGGGCTTCCCAGGTGGCTCTGCTGTAAAGAACCTGCCTGTCAGTGCAGGACATGGCAGGTTTGATCCGGGTCGGGAAGATCCCCTGGAGAAGGACATGGCTACCCACTCCAGTATTCTTGCCTGGGAAATCCCATGGACAGAGAAGCCTCATGGGCTACAGTCTGCTGCTGCTGCTGCTAAGTCGCTTCACTCGTGTCTGACTCTGTGCGACCCCATAGACGGCAGCCCACGAGACTCCGCCGTCCCTGGGATTCTGCAGGTAAGAACACTGGAGTGGGTTGCCATTTCCTTCTCCAATGCATGAAAATGAAAAGTGAAAGTGAAGCCTCTCAGTCGTGTCCCACTCTTCGCCACCCCATGGACTGCAGCCCACCAGGTTCCTCTGCCATGGGATTTTCCAGGCTACAGTCTACCAGGTCACAAAGAGCCAGAAACAACTAAGCAACTAAACAGCAGCAACAATAAAAGATATACATAGGATATATTTAAAAATACAAAAAGAAACAAACAAACAAAAATCAATATTTAAACCAGAATTCCCTGGTGATCCAGTGGTTTCACTATGCTTTCACTGCCGAGGGCCTGCGTTCAATTCGGGCCCTGGTCAAGGGACTAAGAGCCCACATTCGCTGACCAACTAAGGCCAAGCACCGAAACTACTGAGCACTGGCCTCAACTAAAAAGAAGCCGGCTGGTCTCAAGGGAGATCATGCATGCCACAACGAGAACCCGATGCTGCCAAAAATAATAATTATTTAAAAATAAAAAATAAGGCCATTCAACACACACAAACTAAGCCAGGATGAAACCTAGTAAATCAGATAAAGCAATGAAACTGTCCAATAAACATCTTAAGATTTTCCATGTAATTAAGAATTATGAAAACGCAAATTAGAACAAGACTTCTCATCATCACAGATAAGGGAAAATATATAAAATACTTAACAATATCTACCGCTGGGCTTCCCCCCATGGCTCAGTGGTAAAGAATCTGCCTGCAATGAAGGAGACTCAGGAAACGCAGGTTTGATCCCTGGGTGGGGAAGATCCCCTGGAGAAGGAAATGGCAACCCACTCTAGTATTCTTGCCTGGAAAATCCCATGGACAGAAGAGTCTGGTGGGCTACAGTCCATAGGGTCACAAAGAGTCAGGACACGACTGGGAGACTGATCACACGAAGGCCTGAGAAACAGGGACTCCCAGAGTCTCGCAGACAGTCTGCTAGTCACTCTGAAAACCCACCTGGCCCTACCTGGCAGAGGTGAAACTCTTCGAAGCCCTGGGACCGGAAACCAAATTGAAGGTACGTGCCCTTTAGAAATTCTTGCTAATGCACCAAAGACGACGCACAAGGATGTTCCCGCATATCTGTGTACAAGCAAATAGTCTTTTTTTAAAGCGACATATTAAAAGCAGAAACCTATGGGGCAAATAAAAAGGTTTCAGACCTTGAATAAAAGCCTCAGAGAAGAGAAATAGAAATCTTGCTGCGGGCAGAAAGGTCTCAGAGCGTTGAAGCAGAAACGGGTGGGGATGAGAAACGTGCGGGGGGCGGGGCCCGCAGGGGGGATGGGGAGGGGGCTGCTGCGGGAGGTGACAGGAGCTTGCGCGCGGGCGTGAACCACCCCCGGCCAGCTGGAGGCCCCCGAGTCAGGAGGCGGAGGTGGAGAAGGGCCACGGTGGGGTGAGGCCGGCGCGCGCGGCGCTTGGTTACCGGCAGCATCTCACTCCGCGGAAGCAGCCCCTTGGGGCGACCCAGAAGGGAAGTCCGGTGGAGAAACCAAGACGGGCTTGGGGCCGGGGACGGAGGCTCCACCGCGGAACAGGGGCCCGGCGAGGAACGACCTCAGCCGGGAGGGACCCGTGGGGTTCGAGGCCTTCGGGTGGGACCCTCGGCAGGAGATTTGGAGTCGAGGGAACGTCCCCGCCCCGCGTCCTGGGCGCCCCGCGGCCGCCCCCGCACCCAACCTCCCACCCTCACCTCAGCGCAGCCCAACAGCGGCTGACAGACCAGACCCCGCCTGCTCCCTAGGCCCTAAAGACCTAAACCTGACCGGAAGTGACGATCCTTCCTCCGAGATCCAGGCAGGAGGCGCCTTCCGGTCGCTCTGGGAACAGGACTTCGCGTCTCGGTGGTCGGCCGTCTAGAGAAACATAAAAGCTAAGCCTTAGGTCCAAAAGCTGCCGCCAGTTGGCAGTCTGGATTCACGACGCCGACTCTGCAACGAAAGCTAGGCGGAGTGGGAGGGGGGATTGGCATGGGGAATACATGTAAATCCATGGCTGATTCATGTCAATGTATGACAAAAAACACTACAATATTGTAAAGTAATTAGCCTTCAACTAATAAAAATAAATGAAAAAAAAAAAAAGAAAGCTAGGCGGAGGCTTTTGGTGCAGAAGATTCCAAAAATTCTTTTCAGTGACACTCTCCCTAGAGAGACTCCTTAGACAACTAAGATCAGGAAGGCCGTTTTATTTACAGCTAAAGGCAGAATGTGAACTAAAGGGCCTCTTGATGAAAGTGAAAGAGGAGAGTGAAAAAGTTGGCTTAAAGCTCAACATTCAGAAAACTAAGATCATGGCGTCTGGTCCCATCACTTCATGGTAAATAGATGGGGAAACAGTGGCTCACTTTATTTTTCTGGGCTCTGAAATCACTGCAGATGGTGCTTGCGGCCATGAAATTAAAAGACGCTTACTCCTTGGAAGAAAGTTATGACTAACCTAGGCAGTGTATTAAAAAGCAGCGACATCACTTTGTCAACAAAGGTCCATCTAGTCAAGGCTATTGTTTTTCCAGTGGTCATGTATGGATGTGAGAATTGGACCGTGAAGAAAGCTGAGTGTCGAAGAATTGATGTTTTTGAACTGTGGTGTTGGAGAAGACTCTTGAGAGTCCCTTGGACTGCAAGGAGATCCAACCAGTCCATCCTGAAGATCAATCCTGGGTGTTCATTGGAAGGACTGATGTTGAAGCTGAAACTCCAGTACTTTGGCCACCTGATGCGAAGAGCTGACTCATTTGAAAAGACCCTGATGGTGGGAAAGATTGAGGGCAGGAGAAGGAGACAACAGAGGATGAGATGGTTGGATGGCATCACCGACTCAATGGACATGGGTTTGGGTGGACTCCGGAGTTGGTGATGGACAGGGAGGCCTGGCGTGCTGCAGTTCATGGGGCTGCAAAGAGTCAGACACGACTGAATTGAAAGGCAGAGAAGTACACCCTTCTTCAGGGCCATGTGATCACTCAGAAAATGAAAATGCTTCCCTGGTGGCTCAAAGAGTAAAGAGTCTGCCTGTAAAGTGGTTTCATCCCTGGGTTGGGAAGACCCCCCTGGAGAAGGGAATGGCAACCCACTCACATATTCTTGCCTGGAAAATCCCATGGACAGATGAGCCTGGGGGGCTACAGTCCATGGGGTAGCAAAGATTCACACATGAATGAGCGACTAACACACATACTGGTCAGAGTTGCCCTTGTTTTAAACCACTGCCCCCAGCACCAATGCCTGTAAATGGGGCCTTAATGCTCTTGAAGGAAACCCTCCCTATTGGCCAGCCCCCTGGACAAAGCCGCAGGCTTTACCCAGTAAAGCAAGTTATGTCCTGGCAAACATGTCCAGTGCCCTTTTCTCCAGGAAGCTTACAGTCCTCTCATCACAGAGGTCTCAGCAACAATATCTAGGTGTGAGTGGCTGAGGGCAGGTGGGGCCCCAGAAAGGCAAGACCAAAACTGAAGTTCACACTAGCAACAGGCATGGACCATGAGAACAGAGGCATCTGGAACAAGTGACACCCTCTCACCTAGGAGGGACCCTGCCACACAGCATCCCAAGACAGCCAAGGTGACCCCCTGCTGTGCACCACTTAGGAAGGTGGCTGCCAGTGCCTTCCACCCAGGCTATAGAGGAGCATCCTTCCTGAGCCAGCCATCCACCACCCACCCTTACTGTCCCCTTACCATTACCTTACCCCTTAATCTGCTTACCATTCACTCCTGTGGTCAGTTACCCACAGTGGCTTGCAGCTCTTGCTTTGACATCAGCTCACAAGCAGATCCACCGGGGCAGGGCACTCTAGTTGGCCTGAGTAAGTACATGGTCCTGTCCCTGACGGGCCCCCACTCCACACTGGTGCCCAAGCCAGCACGGCCCTATTGGCCTTGACCAGTCCATCATTTAAGTCCCAGACAAGGTGCAGGTGAGCCATCACCAAAAAGGAAGCCCGTCTGTGGAGCAGTCAGTCTGGTCCTTCCACTGCATGACAGGACACCCTGGCCCTCAGCCTGTGGCACCAGGGGCACCACTCACACCCAGGAGCACCCAGACCCTCAAGACAAGAAGGTAATGAACGGAATTCACGGAGATTACATTCCTTGTGAGTGGGCTTCGCTGCTCTACATGTCAGGTTGGGGGGGGGGGGGGGGAGGCGGGCAGGTGGGATTTACAAGAAGCAAGGTGTGAAGCCTCACCATCCAGGGCCTCCACTGTTCCCTGGTGTGCAGGGCACTCCTTGGAGAGAGGACCCTTCCCTCTGAAACCACAGAAACACACAGCTCGAAAAAACACACAGCTCGAAAAGAAACAAGCTTTATTGAGCCACAGCCCTAGTTCTCCTTCTCCTGCACAGTCTTGGTTCCCCGGAGACGCCCAGTCCGGCGGGCAGCAATGAGACCCACTTTCCGGCCAGCAGGGGCATCTCTGCGGATAGTAGAGGGTTTGCCAATGTGCTGGTGGTTGCCACCTCCGAAGGGATGCTCGACAGGCTGCAGGAAGAAGGAGGTGAAGGTGAGGTGGAGCTGACCCTGATCTACCTCAGGAAGGCTTGGGAACCCGCAGAATCAACCGGCCTGCGCTTACAAACTATCAGCCACCTCACACCACAGATCTCCCACCATAAAGAGGAGACACTCCAGGCAGGAACTTGTCCACCTCATCTCACAGTCCTCATAAACACTGAATACTGACCCCACTGTCCACTTCTGGGCTACTTACATTCATGGCCACACCCCGCACCCGCGGCCAGCAGTTCCTCTTTGCCTTGTACTTGTGGTAGGCACGGCCGGCCTTAAGAATGGGCTTGTCAATGCGGCCACCTCCAGCCACCACACCTGTTGGAGACCAAGAGACTCAGGGAGATGTATCACCCACCCCACCCAGCACTGGGGGACACTCCCATCAGGCAGAGCATCCCCTGCTGTGTCCCTGCCAGTGCCCCACCACCATGTGTCGTTCAGGATCACATGATCCCAGGAGCCTCAAACATGCCCGGAAACCATCCCCAAGCAGTAAATCCTGCTACAGCCTGTCAGCTAGGGCTTCCCTAGTAGCTCAGACAGTAAAGACTGTCTGCACTGCAGGAGACCCGAGTTCAACCCCTGGGTTGGGAAGCCCTGGAAAAGGGAATGGCAACCCACACCAGCATTCTTGCCTGTAGAATTCCATGGACAGAGGAGCCTGGCAAGCTACAGTCCATGGGATCGCAAAGAGTCAGACGTGACTAAGCGACTAACACACACAGCCTCAACAGGTTCTTCCGCTGCAAGGTAGCTAAACCAAGACTTTACTCACATCACCTGGAATGCCCACCTTGAGCCATGGCTTTTCAGAAGTCCTCCCCTTTGCAGGGTCTGACACTAGGCTCCTCCCCACCCCAAACAGGACAGCTGACCTGGCCCACCACTTCTCTGTCATTGTTTTGCTTATTCTGTGAGCACACCCTCCAGAGCCTCCCCCCAGGCAGGACTGGATTTGCCACACGGATTCAAAGATGTTGTCAGCCAACAAACTTGAGTATATGCATTTCAACACACTGTGTGGCTTTAACCAGGTGGCCCACAAAAGCAAAAATCACCTAAATCTAGGTTATCCCAGAGTGCAGCTAAGCCTACCTTTACTTTATGGAGCCCAGCATGTTGAACCCACTCTCATTCAACACCCAACCAGGAGTTGAACAGGAACTACTTACACCCACTTAATAAGTATCCCAAATTAGACCACAGATTGTGCTCAAACTTGAGTGAAGCAGGCAACTGTGTTCCTGGCTCGTCTATCTGCTGGCTATCCACAGGAGACCCACAGCATACAACCGCTGCCTTCCACTCACCGACCACAGCTCTGTTGGCAGAGGAGATGACCTTTTTGGAGCCCGAAGGCAGCTTCACTCGCGTCTTCTTTGTCTCAGGGTTGTGGGAGATGACTGTGGCATAGTTTCCGGAGGCTCTTGCCAGCTTCCCTCGGTCACCAGGCTTCTCCTCCAGACAACACACGATGGTGCCCTCAGGCATGGTGCCCACTGGGAGCACATTGCCGATGTTGAGCTGGGCTACAAGAGAAAGGTCAAGCAGTGTCTTCGCCACTTCCGACACTGCTTGCCAAAACCACGGACAGCCTCCTCCTTCAGCTCTCCGGGCACTCACCGGGATGCCTGGCCAAGCAGGTGTCCCCAAGTGAAGGCTACAGCCTCAACGTTCCTCCCTCGACCCAAGCTGTAAACCGCCAGGCACCTCAAGTCCCTCCCCATCAAGACCTTTCACCTCGGCGCGGAGCTCACCCTTTTTGCCGCAGTACACAAACTGGCCGGTGTGGATTCCCTCAGCAGCGATGAACAGCTCTGTCCGCTTCTTAAAACGGTACGGATCCCGGAAAACCACTTTGGCAAGGGGCGCTCCGCGGCCCGGATCGTGGATAATGTCCTGCGGATCGAGGCAGCGTGAGGGGCTCAGGGGTCCCGCTGGGCGCCCCGCGCCCCCACCCGTCCCGGCCCACGCCCCGAACCTTCACGATGCCCTTGATATATCCGTGTCGCTCGGCGAAATCCACGGCGCGCAGGCGCGCGGCGCCTTTTCTGTGCTTCACATGTGCCCTGAACACGGAGCCGGCGCCCTTCCTCTGCCCACGTATCACGCGGCCCATGGCGGCGGTCTGGAGGCAGCTCACGGTCAGTGGCCGTCCGGCCCTGGCATCCCCACCAGCGGGCTTCAGGGGCCCCGCTTCCTCGGCTCCTCCCTCCCGCCCTCAGGACCCTCCGCGTCTCCAGCCCCAGCCGTGCGCCCCGGCGCTTTTTCCAGAGTCAGCTAGGGTCCCTAGCGGAGCCTAGGACAACGAGGGGGCGTCGGATGGCGCCGGATGGCACCAACATGTCCTACCTGCTGCGAAGCGCGGCCGAAAGAGGAGACACGGGCCTTGAGAGCCGCCTTATCTTCCGGGGTGGGGCCGAGAGCCCCAACCTTCCGGTCAAGGGCCGCCGCCGCAATGCACACCGGGACTTGTAGTTCTATGGCGGTCGCCTGTAGCCTCTCCCGCGCTCCCGGCCCTCTGCGCAGGCGCACTGAGTTAGACCGGTCCGCGAGGCACTTTAAGGCCCGCGGGTCTGGCAGCGAGGCTGCTCTTTAGCAGACGGGGCGCGGATTCGGCAGGCAAGGCTACCTGGCAGGGAGTCTCCAGCAGGATACATCTTTCTTTCTTTCGGAGAGGGGTCTCCTGGAGGAGTCCTTCCGGTGAAGGTCCCTGGAGTTAGCAGAAGAGGAGGTGGAACGCCTGAATGATAAGAGTAGGCGCAGACGGGGAGAGTTTAGTGATCAGGACCCTGGTTTTGCAGATTAGGCCTGAGTGGGGAGAGCAGGCGAGGTAAGGATTGAGGGAGGGCAGGGGTCTCACGGAGCAGAGGGGCTTGCTCTCGGGACTCCAGGGTGGAGTTTTTGCTCCAGTGTGGCCTCGCAGGGGTGGATGCCAGGGAGACATCGGAAGATGACAGGAGCGGGAAGGAAGTGGCCATGTGGCCACATTCTGAAGCTACGAGGGAGCAGAGGGTACTGTGCACGAGGCCCAGTAAGAGGCAGCCAGCTGGGCTTGTCAGGGAGAGCCCACTAGGGGGCAGCACTGCCCACAGCAGGGCCAGAGCTGAGGGGCACCTGGATCTCCTTGGGGCAGGTTGAGGGGTTTGGGGGTCAGCTCCGCAAAGGCCTGGAGGACCAGAAGGTCAGAGGGATGGAGGTGAGGACAGTGCTTGGACTTGTGTGCTGGGGGGTCCCTGGGATGGAGTATGGGGGAGGGGCGGAGCGGGACACACGGCCCTCTACTCTCCCTTTGACCCTGAACTGGCTTCCCAAGCTGTGGATGCAGCCAGAATGAGGCTGACCAAGCCCACTCCAGGCTTGTGTCCAGGCTCTCACCACAGTCTGGGTACGACAGAGGTAGCAGTGCAAGCCCAGGAGCCAGGGCGTGTCTGGTGGCTGTGAGACCCCACTGGGGGCCATGGGCCCAGGGAAGCCTGAGATGTGCTGTTTCAGGGGTCGTGCTCCTGTGGACTCCTCCCTAAGGCCTACCTTAAGGCACGTGTGTAGACTCAAGGGGGGGCAGCTGATGGTGGGGCTTGGAAGGTGCACACCCCTGCCTCATGCTTGGTGCATCTATGCAGAGATGATGGTGCCGGCTGGCGAAGCTCCCACAGTCCCGAAATCTGTGCCTCAGCTCCCCTCACTGTTCTGAATGTCGGCTTCCATATAAGGCCACTGAGTCTGACATACAGCCGGGTCTCTGCAGATCCAGGTCATTTAAGGTGGTGAGGACAGTCTCCCTGGGCATGGGGTTCTTATCTTCAGGAGGGGCCCAACTGCCTGTGTCCCCAGATGAGGCACTCCCCACACAGTGCCTTTGCTCACACTGGTCAGCCAGGGTGCCCTCTCATACCACCGAGGTCCATTTCCTTTAAAAGTTGTTCTTAAATATTTCTTCTCGCACCTACACACATGAGTAATTTGGAATAAACTTGAGTAACCATGCCCCTCTTCTGTCTTGTTCAGCTATGCTCCCCACGCTAGCATCTCTGGCAAATAACAGAACCCTATACTCCTGCTGTCTTTCATGGGAACAATATTACTACCTATCATAAGATCATTGTGAGGGTTAGATGAGTGAATATGCACGAAGAATACAAAGTAAGCCTACAAAAATCACCAGGGCTGTAGAAGTCAGAGGGGCCAAGCTCAGGCACAGACAGGAGAGGTGGCCTGAGAGAGTGAACACAGGGAGCCTTCAAGGTCCTGGGCAGGATCAGCTTGTTGACAAGAGTGCTGCATGCTGAAGGTGTTTTTATCTCCTTTCTGTGTATTCTACCTATAAAAATGGTGTTATTTTAAAAGTGTGCATGGGGGACTTCCCTGGTGGTCCAGTGGATAGGATTCCACACATCCACTGCAGGAGGCAGGGTTCAATCCCTGGTCTGGGAACTAGGAGTTCACATGGCACAACTAAAGAGCACACACACCTCAAGGAAGATGGAAGAGCCTGCATTTCACAACTAAGACCCAGTGCAGCCAAATAAGTAAATAAATATTAGAAGAAAAATTTAAAAACTCTCTGAAAGACCCCCTTACAGCGATAACTGCTGGCCTGAGGTGCAGACAGGCCGTTGCCTCTGAGTTGTGTCAGGCAGTGGGCCCTCTGGCTTCAGGGCTCCTGCAACCCCACACCAGAGCCCCCCCCACACACACACACACCACTCAGTGACCGTCTGGTCCCACACTGCAGGTCAGGCCGGCCGCTGTGATTTTATCTGCATTTGGGGGCCTCTTGGATATTTAGGGGTTGTGTATGGGGCCTTCTTAACTTACTTGTCCCTTTCCGTGGACAAATAGCTCTTCTGTTCACTCCATCCTTTCCCGTGTTCTGCCCATGTGCTCTGTGTCGTTTATCTAGAAACTGTCTCATCCGCTCTCCTAATTTGTTGTTCTACAGAAAAATTGAATGTTCTGGAGTTGTCCAGCAAACACACACAATAGAGCCTTTATACTTTCACTTTGAGTTAATTGCTGCTCATTAACATAAGCATAATGGGAATTTTCTTCTGATTTTCAAAAAATATTAATGACTTTCCTGATGATCCAATGGCTAAGACTGTCTGCTCCCAATGCAGGGGCCTGCATTCGATCCCAGGGCAGGGAACTAGATCCCACATGCTGCAACTAACAACTGACACAGCCAAATATATATATATATACATATACTAAAGTATTAGCAAATCTCTGAAGTACTTGCAAAATGTGGTCTTCCCACTAATAAGCTAAGAATGTACTTAAATACCCTTTTCCCAAATAAAGTGCATTTTTAGCCCTGACATTTTTTTTCCAACTTCTTAAAGCATGGTAAAATACACATAATTCACCATCTTAGTCATTTATAAGTACGCAGTTTAGTGGTATTGGGCTTCCCTTGTGGCTCAACTGGTAAAGAATCCACCTGTAATGCGGGAGACCTGGGTTCAATCCCTGGGATGGGAAGATCCCCTGGAGAAGGGAAAGGCTACCCATACCAGTATTCTGGCCTGGAGAACTCCATGGACTGTATAGTCCATGGGGTTACAAAGAGTCTGACATGACTGAGTGACTTTCACGTATTAGGGTTAGGGTTAGGAGAAGGGCCCCGGGGCTGGACACCTGGTGTTTGTGAACAGGAGTAAAAGTCAAGCTTTGTTCTCACCCTGACACTTCAAGGACAAAGCTAGTGGCAAAAACTGAGCTCTGTTAAAGAAATGAGATGACCACTCCTGAGGTTAAGGAAGACTTCTCTGTCTGCACTTGCACAGGAAGGCTTCATAGGGGTCAAAAAGCAAGGGAGCCCCACACCATTACAAGTGTGGACATGCACCCACAGGCCTCTGCCTTGGGATCCATCTTAGAAAAAAGTTGTGCACACATACTGGAGAGGGTCCAAGGACCAGTCAGGTGTGAAGAAAGAAACAAAATAATTGGCCAAATGTAAACAAAGACCCCAAACACCAGGAGAGACAAGAAAGCCTTCCTAAGTGATCAATGCAAAGAAGCAGGAAAACAATAGAATCAGAAAGATTAGAGATCTCATCAAAAAAAAAAAAAAAAAGATTAGAGATCTCATCAAGTAAATTAGAGATAAGAAGGGAGAATTTCATGCAAAAATGGACACAATAAAGGACAGAAATGGTATGGACCTAACAGAAGCAGAAAATATTAAGAAGAGGTGCAAGAACATACAGAACTATACAAAAAAGATCTTAATGACCCAGATAACCACGATGGAGTGATCACCCACCTAGAGCCAGACATCCTGGAGTGTGAAGTCAAGTGGGCCTTAGGAAGTGTCGCTATGAACAAAGCTAGTGGAGGTGATGGAATTCCAGTTAAGCTATTTCAAATCCTAAAAGATCATGCTGTGAAAGTGCTGCACTCAATATGCCAGCAAATTTGGAAAACTCAGCAGTGGCCACAGGACTGGAAAAGGTCAATTTTCATTACAATCCCAAAGAGAGACAAAGCCAAAGAATGTTCAAACTACTGCACAATTGCACTCATCTCACACACTAGCAAAGTAATGCTCAAAATTCTCCAAACTAGGCTTCAACAGTATACGAACCGAGAACTTCCAGATGTTCCAGCTGGATTTAGAAAAGGCAGAGGAACCAGAGATCAAACTGCCAACATCCGTTGGATCACAGAAAAAGCAAGAGAATTACAAAAAAAATCTACTTCTGTTTCATTAACTACACTAAAGCCTTCGACTGTGTGGATCACAACAAACTGTGGAAAATTCTTCAAGACATAGGAATACCATACCACCTTACCTGTCTCTGAGAAACTTGTATGCAGGTCAAGAAGCAACAGTTAGGACTGGACATGGAACAACAGACTGGTTCAAAGTTGGGAAAGGAGTACGTCAAGGCTGTATATTGTCACCTTGCTTATTTAACTTATGTGCAGGGTTCAGTTCAGTTCAGTCGCTCAGTCATGTCCAACTCCTTGCGACCCCATGAACTGCAACACGCCAGGCCTCCCTGTCTAGCACCAACTCCTGGAGTCCACCCAAACTCATGTCCATTGAGTTGGTGATGCCATCCAACCATCTTATCCTCTGTCATCCTCTTCTCCACCTGCCTTCAATCTTCCCCAGCATCAGGGTCTTTTCAAATGAGTCAGCTCTTCGCATCAGGTGGCCAAAGTATTGGAGTTTCAGCTTCAACATCAGTCCTTCCAATGAACACCCAGGACTGATCTCCTTTAGGATGAACTGTTTGGATCTCCTTGCAGTCCAAGGGACTCTCAAGAGTCTTCTCCAAAAAAAAAAAAAAGAGTCTTCTCCAACTGATGATGCAGGGTACATCATGCAAAATGCTGGGCTGGATGATGCACAAGCTGGAATCAAGATTGCAGGGATGGAAATCCTGCCTGCACAGCATCACTGAGCACCTCCAGCTGTATTAGTGCCATTGAAATAATAAACTCGACATAATGGTGGAAAAAAAAGATTGCAGGGAAAAATATTAATAGCTTCAGATACACAGATGACACCACCCTTACGGCAGAAAGCAAAGAACTTAAGAGTCTCTTGATGAAACTGAAAGAGGAGAGTGAAAAAGC